CGATCTCGGCTCACCGCAACCTCCGCCTCCTGGGTTCAGGCAATTCTCCTGCCTCAGCCTCCTGAGTAGCTGGGATTACAGGCACGCGCCACCATGCCCAGCTAATTTTTCGTATTTTTAGTAGAGACGGAGTTTCACCTTGTTGACCAGGATGGTCTCGATCTCTTGACCTTGTGATCCACCCGCCTCGGCCTCCCAAAGTGCTGGGATTACAGGTTTGAGCCACCGCGCCCGGCCTTTACAGAAACTCTTTTATGATAAAAGGTCTGCTAACTAGACAGTTATTTCAGGGATTACAGATAAGATCCACTCTTGTAAGACCTACTTATTAAAGCTCATGACATTGGAAATAAATGTTTAAGTGCTCTTGGATTTTTGAAATTATCCATGTTACAGAGTGTACTTTAAGTAAGACAAAAATAGAAGTACATATTTTCCCACAATCTTATTGAGGAAATGTGTTCTCTTTCAGGGTCCACAAGGGGGCGTAGTTTCAAGGGCAAGAACTTCCAGCACCATGACCATGTCCTCCCCCCTCCCACCATCTCTCTCCATCCGGGAGATTTAATGGTCTCTGTTTTAATTTTCGCGGGCTAGGGAAGAATCAAAAAGTCAATCACTCCAGCGGAAGTTCTAAGGAACTCCTTTCATTGGCCAGAGGTCTAGGAGAAGGTGGGGGTTTCTCCCAGGTTAAAAGTCCCCTTCTTCCGCACCTCTTTGGATCCCTTCCACGTTTGGATCCTTTCCACCCTCCTGGAAGCTGTCTTTCTGTCTCCTGGATTTCCCCTCTGGAGTCCCCTTGCACACTCTTCGTGGAAGTTTTCTCTCTTCTCCTTTTTTTTCTCTTTGTTTACCCAAATAAATAACTTTTCTGCAACACTTCTTGGGTCTGGTATTTACGAGCTTACTGCGTACCTGCCGTGGTCCCCTCTCTCATTCTTGAAAGGGCGAGACACAGAGAACCTACAATATTTCTCTCCGGGGAGCTCTGCCTCTCCGGCACCCCAAAACCCAGTTACATTAGGATAATTATCATATGAGCCAGAGAAGGTCGCAAATAGAAAAGGAGTCAGTGGCCAGGCACAGTGGCTCACACTTGTAATCCCAGCACTTTGGGAGGAGGAGGCGGGCAGATCACTTGAGGCCAGGAGTTCGAGACCAGCCTGGCCAACCTGGCGAAGCCCCGTCTCTACTGAAAATACAAATACTAGTCGGGTGTGGTGGTGGGCACCTGTAATTCCAGCTACTCCGGAGGCTGAGGCGTGAGAATCCCTTGAATCTGGGAGGCAGAGGTTGCAGAGAGCCCATATCGTGCCACTGCACTCCAGCCTGGGAGACAGAGTGAGACTCCGTCTCAAAAAAAGAAAAAAAAAAGAAAAGGAGTCAGTGAGATTTGCTTCTTATGGAAGATCCCTGATTTCAAGTATTTTAAAAAAACACCAGCCTGGCCAACGTGGCGAAACCTTGTGTCTACAAAAAAATACACACACACACACACACACACACACACACACACACACACAAATTAGCTGGGCATGGAGGGGGGTGCCTGTAGTCCCAGCCCCCTGGGAGGCTGAGGTGGGAGGCTCACCTGAGCCTAGGAAGTTGAGGCTGCAGTGACCCATGACTGCACCACTGCGCTTCAGCTTGGGCAACAGAATGAGACCGTCTCAAAAAATAAATAAAAATAAATTAATTAAAAGAATAAAAACTTCAGGAGTGAGGAGTTGAGACCAACATTAGAGGAGTAGTAGAAAGTCTAACATTTTTCATACGTTTTCTTCAGACAGTTTTCTTAACTTCTCCATCATCCTGCCTAATCCACATAAAGCGGTTTTTATCTCAGTGTAAAGCCACGAGGTTGCAGCACCCCTCTTTTGTCAGTTTTGTTTTAAACTGGCAGAGACCACAGCCACACGACAGCTGACAAAGCTAGTGTGTAGTAAATAGAACCTTCTATACATATACACACACCGACACAACTACTTTTTTCTTCTTACACTGGCTAGGACCTTTATGAATAAAATGATTTTATGCCTTCCTAGGGACTACTTTATTGAGCAAGTATAAACTCAGTAGCTCAGCACAGACTAGTTTGTTATCATGTCCCTCCTGCCTACCAAACTCACGTGTTCAGCCCCCTGGAATTTCCTTTGGTTCTTTAGACCCATATTCTTTCACATTGACACCTCTGTAGATGTCCTCTGACAGGAACTTCTCTCTAGCCCTCTCCCAGTTCTCCTATTTACTCCCTCTGTAAGGCCTTCTCCGTCCTCCCAAATACAGATAAACTGCTCTTTTTATATAATCCTATTCTATATTGTACTTCCCTCATCAAAGTGCTTACCATACAGTTTTGTAATGCCCGATTTAAATATTTTTTGACATTAGTTATAAGCTCTATGAGGACAAAAACCATATTTGTCTTGTAATTTTTGTATCCTTAGCATCCAGCACAAAGCCTGGCACATAGCAGGCTCTCCATAAGTGATTGCTGAATGGCTAAGTGCTCTACATAAAAGATGGTTTATTCTTCAGCATTCAATCTTCAATTTTCTGTAGTAATTCCCATGTGCTATGCTAGGTGCTGGAGATACAAAGATGAGTAAGATGGTTACTACCCTCTAGAAGCTCACAATACAGTGAAGACACTACATAAATAATTATAACATAACATGGATATGCAATGATAGAGATACATTACACGATATTGTAAAACAATATGAAAGAAGGAGACCAAAGCAATCTGTAGGGGGCTAGGGACGATGTTCTGGAGAAGGTAATGCCTGAGCTGAAGGAAGTTTTAATTTGGGGTTAAAACCTGATACTGTATGCAAATTTTGGGATTATGTACATTTTTCTAGAGTGGTTCCAAGGTATTCATCACACACTCAAACGTTTCCACCACCCCTAACATATTAAAAACCACCCTCTCAAAGGACGAGTAAGAATCGGGTAGGGAGGCTGCATATGGTGGCTCGTGCCTGTAATTCCAGCACTTTTGAGAGGCCAAGGCGGGTGGATCGCTTGAGCCTAGGAGTTCAAGACCAGCTTGGCCAAGATGATGAAACCCCATCTCTATGAAAAATAACAAAAATTAGCTAAGCATGGTAGTGCATGCCTGTAGTTCCAGCTGATAGGGAGACTGAGGTGGAAGGGCCACTTGAGCCTGGCAGGTGGAGGCTACAGTGAGCCGTAAGCACGTCACTGCAATCCAGCCTGGGTGACAGAGGGAAACCCTGTCTCAAAACAAAACAAATGAACAAAAAAAACAAATCAGGTAGAGAGAAGACCGGTGGTGGGGTGGGAGGACAGGGCTTTCCAGATAGCAAAGGGCATGAGTAAAGGCACAGAGTGAATAATAGCATGGTATATGCTGGGAACTACACATGGTTTGGTGCTGCTAGAAGATGAAATTCAAAGAAGGAAGAGGTCAAAAATGAGGCTAGACAGGAGGAGTGGATGTCCAATCATTAAGAGCTCTGAAGGCCACCCTAAGGAGCTTATAGTCTAAGGTGGTGAGGGTTGTCTGCTATATCTTATACAGAGCAGTATGGTGGCTGTGTGGAAGACACATTTGAAGGAAACAACATTGTAGGAAGAGAAACATTATGGAAATGTGTTATGGGAGTTCAGAAGAAAGATGATAAAGGCTGATTTAAGACATTTGGTGACAGGAGAGGAGACAACAGATTTGAGAACTGTTTCGAAGGTAAAATCAGCAGAGAGAAGTCATCTCTCTTCGCCTCCTTCCACCAACCCTTATCTGGCGGCTCACCTTTGACCGAGCACCAATATTCTACGAATAATCTCTTAAAAGTGTGGTACACGGACTGCAGTACTCCACGTGTGGCCTGACTAGTATGCAGTACAATATTATCACTCCATTGCTACAGATGGTGTGCTTTTCGCTGTTGTCACAGAAATGTATATTTGGTTAGCTGTATTTGTTAACGTCTCATCTGCCTTTCCAGCCTTCCCTCACTTTGTGCAGTCATATTTGCCGAGTCAAGTAAAAGTCATAACATTTAGGACACAATGCCTGACTTACTATAATTACCATTATTATCTTATTAGCTATGATCATTACAAAACAGAATTAGCACTTAGCTCTCAGGCCCTACCTCCTTGAGCCTCAGAAATGTTGATAAAACCAATTATTGAGCTTTTGAGTACTATGATTATTAAGTACTATGCTCAGTATGTGGGTGACTGCATCATTTGTACCCCAAGCCTCAGCTGTCACAATATACCCAGCACATGTACCAAATCTAAAATAAAATAATGTAAAATAAAAGTTGCAAAAAAAACAAAGACTTTTAAACTACACACACACACACACACAAATGTAGCTGGAGAGTTCATTACATCCAAGATAAACACAAATTCTGGCAAGATTATAGAGGATCCAAAAAGAATGCAGAAACAAAATGCAATTTCAAACAGGTTTGCAAATAAAATGGGAGGCGCATAGCTTATTAAAAACGAGACTTAATATTTTCAGAATTGTACAGAGTCTTGACCTTAGGACTTAAGAGTGTACTCTGGAACTGATTAAGTCTTAGCACTGTATAGAGAGCTCAAAACACGAGTTAGATAACAGGTGCTTTTATAAAAATGACCTCTGGGTTGAAAATTAGCTACAGTTAAAAAAAAAAAAAAAGATGGCCCTTAGCAAGATAGTTATTAAAGAATTAATTATAAAAGACACCTTTCTTGGATCATTTATTCAGCCTTTTAATCATTTAACAAATATTTATTAGTGCCTAATATGTGCCAGGTCCAAGGGATAGAATGGCAAACAAGAGAGCATGAATGCTGTTTTCAAGGAGTTTATAATCTATGGAGGAGACAAACAACGTATCAAAACAATGTGGTAGTTAGTGTTGTGACGGGGAAGTGGGTGAAGGGTACTATGACAGTATGTATAGGGACATCTAGTCCAGTCTAGAGGAAGCTTCTTGGATGTTCAAGTTGAGATCTGAAGGCTGAAAGAAGGGGAGGTATATGAGGAAAAGGCCCAGAAAGAGAACACAGACCGTGTGGAAATCTGGAAGCACCATAGCATGCATGGCCAGGTTAAGAAACTAAAAGAAGTTGAGAAAGTCTGAAGAATAAAATGGTGAGAGCCACAGCTGAAGAGGGAAGAGGCAGGGTCCCATCAATAAGGGACCTGATAAGAGCTAGGGTCCTATCAATAAGGGATCTGAAAAGCCACGTGAAGGAGTTTGAACTTTGTCCTGTGGCATTGTGAGCAGACTTCAATATGTGACCTCTGATTTCAGATTGCATTTGAAATAAACCTTTCAGTTAATACAAAAGAGTAAAAATGCAGGGCGGGAGTGGGGGCGGGTGCACAGGGGGCAGTGGTGGTATTTCCAAGGTAACTACACCTCTCTAAACAGGTACTTTTTATTAAATATTCACTACAATTCTACTATGTGCCTGCTACTGATCTAGATGCTGGAAAATACGGGAGAGAACAAGAAAGACAGATAAAAAACACATGAACAATAGTAATAGATGCCAAGAAGAAAATAAAACATGGAAATGAGGAAGAAGGCACCCGAAATGGAAAGCTACTTTGGCTGTGGGCAGGGTGTCAGGTAAAACCTTCCTAAAGTGACATTCTTACTAATACCAAAATGATAATGTAGCTGCATAAATATCTGAACAGAGAACATGTCATGCAAAGTAGTCTTTGGGTCTTTCTTCCATGTTTGTAAAGAGCAGGTTTAACAATTACATATGGATGCATGTAAAGAGCATACTTAATAATCATAGTACTCAAAAACTCAATAATTAGCTTTTCAACCCTTACCCCTTCTCCTGGCCCCAAGTAGTCTCCAGCTTCTATTTTTGCCGTCTATATGTTGGTGAGTACTCAATATTTAGCTCCCACTTTACAAAAGATGCACGTTTGTAAAGAGCAGGTTTAACAATTAACATATGGATGCATGAGAGAAGTAAAAGTCTATGATCATAAGGCATACAAGATTAGAAAGCCACTTCCTTGGTTCAATGTATCAATTATATCCATGCTAAAAATCTCAGAGGCTGCAATGCAAAGCCGATTTTCTTTTTTGTTTTCTAATTTTTTTTTTAATTCTATGAAGAAGCAAAGTCAATTTTCTACTGACATTCTTTATTCTAGTGAAAAAAAGCTAATTAAGTTTTTTTTTAAATTAATTTTTTTCTTAAATTAGTACTAGGGCTAAAAACAACCCTGAGTTGTCACTAAGGGCACTGGGTAGTCTTAGAAAGATTTTAAGCAGAAGAGTTACATGTCCAGGTTTTTTTACATTAATACATTTAAATACTATGCAGCCAATAAAAACAATAATTATGAAAACTATAGAAAAGGTGGTAATTAAAAAAATTTAAAAAAAACCATTGGATTAGGGTGGTGGGATTATGGATGGCTTTTTATTTCATATTTTAATATTTTAAAAGTTTTTGAAAAGGACAATGCTCTGCTCTACGGACCTGAGTATTCGGATGAAGCAATACAAATAACGGAATCAAAGAAGAAAAATTTAGTTCACTTTAAGCCCCAAAAGGTAACTATTCTGTCATTTGCCATTTGAGAGAAGAAAAGTAAAAACAACAAAAAAACCATCTTTAAATTATTAGAAAGAAGGGAAAAAGGTCAATAGGTAGTCTGAGATTCAGAAATGTTAAGTTGGCCAACAATTATTTATTGAATGCCTGCACTTGGAAGTGGGGATACAGCTATGAACAAGGCAGAATCTCAAAAAATAAAATCAAAAACACACACATAAATGATGCCAGTGCCATGCTAAATGCTAGGAAGGAAAAATAGATTACCAATGGATGACACGGTAAAAGCAAGAGGCTCACTAGACGAAGCTTCTACTGAGCAATGTCTTACATGTTTGTACGCTCAGAGCTTTATACAATGGTCGATAAATGTTGATTGTACAAACAAATGAAGGTGGCCAATGGAGAAGAAATGAGGGTCAGAAAAACATCCGAAACGGGTGTGTAATTAAGCTGAGGATAAAGGATGAGGTGTCAGCGCAAAAACAAAACCTAATACTTTTAAGTATAGGTATAACCTTGTATTGCTATTTTGAAGCAGGAAACGTCTCCATACCAGGATTCAGGATGTGACATCTAACAGCAAAGCCCGCACTGACGCGCCCCCAGTATCCAGCCCTGATTGGCGCGCCGCACGCCCGGCGCCCGGAACCACATACGCTTCCCCAGTCCAGGGTCCGCGGCGCAGCCCGGAAGCTTCGGGCAGCTCCGAGGGCCGGCTTCTCAGCTGGCGGCGCCGGCTCTGAGCGCGGAGGCCGGCGGACCCCGGTCCCTTCCAAAAGCGGACCGAAATTCCGGGGACGGATGCGGGGTGGGGCCACGGACGGCCGCAGGCCAGCCTCCCGACAGCCGGGGCTCAGGGAACCGGACGCAGCCAATCTCACACCCTCTTCACGCTCTGGGTCCCGGAGTGACGGGCGCAGGCCGCGTGAGGGGAGCGAGACCCCGGACCAGCCCGCACCAAGGGGGACCCGAGGGGGCGATTCGGCAAAAGGAGGCTGACGGGTGTCGGGGCGGGAGGCGGTGACTCACCTGGGAGGTAATCATGATGCTAGAGTCGATCAGGAAACTCATCGCGAAGTGTAGGGAGGGCTCCTGCCTCCACTTCCCATTCCCCGAGGCCACTGCACGCTGGGGCCACCGGCCCCCTCACTCAGGCAGCCTTCGCCCAGGTGTCGCAGCCAGGACAGCGGCTCGCAAGCCCGACGCCATCAAGCTGCGCCCCAGCCAGCCAATCAGCAGCTACCTCCAGAGCTTCCCGCCTCGGGCTCGGCGTGGTGGGTGGGGCGGACGCTTAGATCTCAGGGCCGGCGCTTAATTAGGGGCGAAACGGAAAGCAGATGCAGCGCAGTGTAGCATCAACATTTCTGAGGCTCAAGGAGGTAGGGCCTGAGAGCTAAGTGCTAATTCTGTTTTGTAGTGATCATAGCTAATGAGGTAATAATGGTAATTATAGTAAGTCAGGCATTGTGTCCTAAATGTTATAACTTTTACTTGACTCGGCAAATATGACTGCACAAAGTAAGGGAAGGCTGGAAAGGCAGATGAGACATTAACAAATACAGCTAACCAAATATGCATTTCTGTGACAACAGCGAAAAGCACACCGTCTGTAGCAATGGAGTGATAATATTGTACTGCATACTAGTCAGGCCACACGTGGAGTACTGCAGTCCCTGTACCACACTTTTAAGAGATTATACGTGGAATTTTGGAGCTCGGTCAAAGGTGAGCCGCCAGATAAGGGTTGGTGGAAGGAGGCGAAGAGAGATCACTCCGAACATGACATCTGTCTTCATGTGAAAGAATGGGTAGAACTGATGTGGCCCCGAGAGTTATCTGTAGGGCAAAGGACTGGAAGTTAAATGAAGATAGATTTTAACTGAAAACAAAGATCAATTCTTTTAGAGTCTGAAGAAGGATTATTTTAGGAAGTAACTCCCTCTTCCCCCTTCCCACCATGTTGCAGTGGATCAAATATACACTGAATCACTACCTCATGTATTCAACACTTATTTCATGTAGGCTTAATGCATTGCTGTGGTGCTTGTTCTGCCGCTGATGTGGGGCCAGCTAGTCTTTGTAGTTCCTGTAGTCTCAGTTCTGCAAACTGGCCCCAGTCCAGGAAATCACCCTATGTAGGAGTGGCTACAGTTAAGACCCAGAAAGACAATCCTGAGGGGACCTGACATCCAGCTTCTGTGTTCCGACTATTACAGTTTGAATAAGTGACCCGCAGATTCATTACACACAAGGGAATGTGTCTTCCTTTCATTGGATTGAACTCTGTCATACCAACTACCTGTAAGATGTCAATCCCTGATCCAGAATTTCAAGGAGCTGTGGAGGCAGCTCTACTGTGGGAGTGTCATAAACCAGAGACCTTTGTGTCCTGGCTATATCTATTAGGGAAGCAGGTAGATTTCCACATAGCAGCACCTGACATTCAAGACTGTGTGATTGTGCAGAATGCTGAGATAGCCTATCAAGGCAAGCAGTTTACCTCGGTGGCTTACTGGGGTGCACAGTGGGCATCAGAGTCTTGGTAACCTGGAATAGCATAGAAAGGTGGACAGTGCCTATGGGCCTAAGGCCTGTGCAAAGCTTGGGTGATATCGTTCAGAATTCTCCCTACTGTAGCACTTGTGTCCAGGTAAAGGACAGGCCTGGGTGATTCAAGGGACTGCTTTTGACTGATTGTGATTGAGGAATGTCTCTAGAAACCTACACACTGCATTTAGTATCCAATTGACTCTCTTCTCAAAGCAAGTCTTTACTGGTGATGGTGGACTCTGATACCAAAATGGCTTGTCCTCCCATCTCTACTGCTGTTAATATTCTCCTGATCCCTCTAGCTGCTGCTATCCTCTTAGACTAGTGAGATCTTTTGGTTCTGCCTCCATGGACTGTCAAACCATTTGGGCCCTGGGTCCCCAGTTTGTGCTGTTTTTCCAAGGGAGGTTTTCAAAATATGTCATGTTCATAACTACTAGCCATTGTTTGCCACTCATCTGGAGATTGACAGCCAGTCCCATAGATGTGCTATAAAGAGTCGATTGACGAGATGATCAGTCTGTCTCCTTTGGACCAGTGTTTGCTCACACCACTTTACCACCCTTTTTCATGGCAACTGCAGTGTGCATAACTACTCTCACACTTCCCAGTACCATCCACATCCTGACAGCTATTTCACCTCCGTCCTCCAAATTAATGCAAAGGATTGGGTCCAGGAGTTGACACTAACACTAGATCCCTGGGAAACACCCTAGTACTTCTCCATGCACATACGTAGCACCTGCCCATGCCAGTGGTTGGATGATCTCTGTTAGGGATTTTCTTTTGAAAGTTTTTACTTATTGTGATATAGCTGTAGATTCACATGCAGTTGTAAGTCTGGTATCTTTTGAGACATATGGCATCACCACTTCCACGGCATCCTACTCCAGCTCTCTCCCTTCATGGATAGACATCCTCTCTTATAGCTCCCCACTGTGCCAGGTTCACTGAGTCTCTGAACTCCCTTGTATACCCCACTAAGTCACCAGTGTAAGTTGGACAGGAAACCACAAGTATTCAAAGGAAAAAATGTTTATTTTCCAGTGGTCCTATGGACAGTATCTATACTTGATAACTAGAAAACGAAGAGGTGCAGTTTTTTCAAAGTGTGATTCTCTTAACGCCTTGGGAAGCTTATTTAAAATGTAGATTCATAAACTCTAATGTAGACCAGTGGACTTGGGATTTTGGAAAGTGACTCCCAGGAGGAATCTGGGAGCCAATTAATTAATAAATAAAAATTACATACATTTATCATGTACAAAACGATGTCTTGAAATATGTATACATTGTGGAATGGCTAAATCGAGTTAATTAGCATTATGTAGTATTTCCGATACTTATTTTTGTGGTGAGAATACTTAAAATCTACTCTCAGAGGTTATCAAAAATGCAATACATTCTCGTTAAATATAGTCACCATATTGTATAATAGATCTCTTGAACTTACTCCTCTTACCTAACTGAAATTTTGTATCCTTTGACCAACATCTCCCAAACTTTTAAATCTTACTTAAAAAATATATTTGTGTTAAACATTATTTATGATATTTGTATTCTGTTTTGTAACTATACATAGTTGCATTTAATTCATTCTGGGAGTATAGGCATGCACCACCATGCCTGGCTAATTTTAAAGTTTTTGTAGAGACAGGGTCTCACAATGTGCCCGGGCTAGTCTCAAACTCCTGGGCTCAAGCGGTCCTCCTGCCTCTGCCTCCCAAAATGTTGGGATTACAGGTATAAGCCACCGTGCTTGGCCTTGAATTCTTTTAAAAAGTATTTCTCTTGGCCAGGCACAGTGGCTCATGCCTGTAATCCCAGCACTTTGGGAGGCTAAGGCAGGCGAATCACCTGAGATCAGGAGTTTGAGAACAGCCTGGCCAATATGGTGAAACCCCGTTTCTACTAATAATACAAAAATTAGCCAGGTGTGATGGTGCACATCTCTAATCCCAGCTACTTGTGAGGCTGAGGCAGGAGAATTGCTTGAACCTGGGAGGTGGAGGATGCAGTGAGCTGAGATTGTGCCACTGCACTCCAGCCTGGCCACAAGGGCAAAACCAAAAAACAAAAAATATTTTTCTTTTGGCTTGAGTGGGTTATGAAATAAATTTTTCTTTAAAGAAGGGTTTGCAGGTATTTTGAGCTTTTTTGCATAATTGAGAGTGCCTTTCAATTGGCTTCACACATGAATGAAATTTGGCTTATTGTGGAGTTTTCAGCTTAAGTTTTTCATCCTCAATACTCTGTGGATATTCTCTTCTTTTCTGAGATTTAATGTGTTACAGAGAAGCATGATGCCAGCCTGATTTTTTTTTTTTAACCTTTGTAAGTAACTTGATAAATACTCTGTTCATCCACAGTTGGCACCGGAAGGACTAGCACCACATTGAGAGGATTGGCCGAAACAGAGAGCCATGAGGCTTTGGTTCCTTGTGCTCACCCCAGCTTCCCTTTTCCTTTTGAGCTATTACTCATCCCCATGCCCAACAGTGGCATCTGAGGGAGAGGAGAAATCGGTCTCCTTTACCCCTCCAGACCACATAAACTCTTCTCTTAAATCTCTATCAAAGCTGAGTCTAAGGTGCCTCATTTAATAGTAAGACTAGGCCGGTTGCTGTGGCTCACGCCTGTAACCCCAGCACTTTGGGAGGCTGAGGCGGGTGGATCACGAGGTCAGGAATTTGAGACCAACCTGGCCAACATGGTGAAACCCCGTTTCTACTAATAATACAAAAATTAGCCAGGTGTGATGGTGCACACCTCTAATCCCAGCTACTCCAGAGGCTGAGGCAGGAGAATTGCTTGAACTTGAGAGACGGAGGCTGCAGTGAGCTGAGATTGTGTCACTGCACTCCAGCCTGGGCAATAGAGCAACACTTTGTCTCAAATAATAATAATATTATTATGCTAGATTACAGTAATCCTATCACATAGAGTGATAATTATGAAGGTGATGATAGCTAATATTTGTGGAGTGCTTACTACGTGCCAGGTACTGTTTTACGATCTTGACATGCATTAACTCATTAACTCCCCAGCTTAGTTCCTAGCTTGCCTCCCTATGGCAGATACCATTTTCCCTTATTATTTTGGAAGCACTAGTGAGCATATTGTGACTCTTTGGATTGTATGCTCAAGAGACTGAGGCTCAGAGGAAGGAATTCCCTCTCGTTCCTGTTTAAGGCCCACTTTCCAAATTCTCTTTTCTCATCTTAAAATCTTTCTCTTTTCAGCAGTTGACATTTTGAAATAGCTATTATCTTCAAGGAAGCCTCACCTCCCTAATGAGAGAGGTTTGACCCTACTCTGTGTTCACAGGCGGACAAGAATGCAAAGCATAGCTGTTCAATGGTACAAAAACCACTGCAGGGTTTGTTTCTTTGCCTTTCTAAATTACAGAATTATGTCTTTATACTTGCAAATCAAAATTTGTCTAGATTTTTTTCCCTGGTGCGTGATGAGTCCCTTCCAGTTTGCAATGTCAGGTCTTTTATCAGCTCAAGGAAATTTCCTTGTATCTTTAGAGCTTATGGTTGGTTCACTTGTCCTGACTTTTCTTCTGGAGCATCGTGTACCTATGTGTTGGATTTTTATTGTCTTTCCTCTATATTCATTATTTCTTTTTTGACAATTTTTATCTCTTTGTTCGTTCTTTTGGCATTTGGGAGAATTTCTGATATTGAATCTTTACAGAATTGATTTGGTCTAATATATTGCTAATTCTGCTCTTCATTCTTAAATTCTGCTGTGGCATTGTTTGCTAACTCTGCCAGCTCCTTTTACAATTCAGTCTAGCACTTTATTATGTTGTGTTTTATGTATTATTTTATAGAGTCCATGTGTTCTTTAACCTTTTTTTGAGAGTAAAAAACAGATTTTAAATAAATAAATTTTTATTTTAAAAATAAAGATCTTTTGAAATTATGCTATTCTTTTCTTTTGGTGTTTATTGTTTTCTTCTCATGTCTCTGGAACTTCCCACAGACTCCAGGTTATTCTCTGTCTAGCTGTTGTGTTCCCTATCTGTTACTTATCTATAAAACTGAGAGTCTCATCTGTCCCAGAATAGGTATAGGACCTGAGTAGACACAGTAAAGTTACGTCAACAGAATTAATAAAAATGTAAAGAAGAATCCTCAACTGTTAGATAAGTAAATTTCTAAAAAATATTTAAAGGAAGACAAGTAGTCTATAATTCAAGAAAAATATAGAGTTGTCCTAGAATTTAGTGCCTCGCTCTGATACAATTATGAAAAAAACTGGAGAAAGTGGGCCTTCTGATCTGAGAGATCTTAGAGAGATGAACTATTTTTGTAATATCATAAGGACATTCCTTGTCGTGATGTCTGCCTTAGAGATATGATGGAGATTTTTTTTTTACTGTTAAGTTATATTCCATTGGCTCAGGTCACTTGTGTTTATCTAATCTCATCATTTTCTCTGGGTTGTACTGACCTAACTCAATTTTGGAGGTCCCTCATTGTTTCTTCCATCTACAGATCTAGCTAGTTTAAAGATGAAAACTGCAGCAGATGAGAAAGAAAAATACAACTGGAAAACGTGGATGAATTAGAAACACTAAACAGTTTTCAGGAAAGCTGAGTGGCTGAGAAAAACAGATGCTGTAGGAAAAGAAAAAAAAGAGGACACAAAAGCTGTCCTGGCCAAAGGGGTCATGACCATACATTATCCTCGGATGAGGGCTTCCTTTATGGTGACAATTGAACAGAAGCATTTAGAGCAGATTACAATGCATGTTATACGTACAATGAAATCATTGAAACAGAAAAAAGAGCCAAAATTGATGTCTTTGCCTTAAATCTTGCTTCTTTCTAGTTTATTCTCTCCACAGTGGTCGGGGCAGTCTGAGAGAAAATGACCAACAGAATATGATGGAATTGATGGTACGTGACTTCTTCCAAGTTTAGGTCATAAAAGACACTAAAGTTTCTGCTTTGGCCTCTTGAATCACTTTCTCTGGGGGAAACCAGCTACTGGGTCATAAAGACACTCAAGCAGCCCCATAGAGGGGCCCAAGTGGAGAGAAACCACTTGCCAGCATTATCTTGGTGGTCATGCAGCTGTGTGAATGAGTGGATCCTACCATCCTGGTCAAACCTCTGCTAACTGAAGGCCCCACCTATATTTGACTGCAGTCTTCTGAGAGACCTCCAAGCTGCTCTAGAATTCCTGACCTACAGAAACTGTGAGGGATAATATATGTTTGTTGTTTTAAGCCAGTACATTTTGGAGTAATTTGCTACCCAGCAATATACAACGAATACAGAAGTCATCACAGGTAATATATATATATATTTTTTGAGATGGAGTTTCGCTCTCGTTACCCAGGCTGGAGTGCAATGGCGCGATCTCGGCTCACCGCAACCTCCGCCTCCCAGGTTCAGGCAATTCTCCTGCCCCAGCCTCCTGAGTACCTGGGACTACAGGCACGCGCCACCATGCCCAGCTAATTTTTTGTATTTTTAGTAGAGACGAGGTTTCACCATGTTGACCAGGATGGTCTCGATCTCTTGACCTCGTGATCCACCTGCCTCGGCCTCCCAAAGTGCTGGGATTACAGGCTTGAGCCACCGCGCCCGGCCACACAGGTAATATTTTTATTAAATAATTGCATGGCACAAACCTGGGTCTCCATCTTTGTAGGCTTTGATTTTTGTTTCTATACCACTCACTGACTGTTAAGCCACATATTTTAGGTTTTTGTTATAATCACACCTAACCTCAATGTACCCTTTGGTTAGGTGTGCAATAGATAACGCTAGATACTAGAACAGATAAATCTTGACATCTGAGTGGATTAATATAATAAACGTTTATTTTTCATTTCATATAAGGTCTAAAAGTCCAATTAATGGAAATTGGCAGGGTAGGAAGCCCTCTGATCCACAACATCCAAAAACTGACTGACATCTTCATTACAAGGCTTCCAAGGTTGCTAGGGTGACAGCATCTTTAATATGTGGCTTCTGGGGTTGTGCTAGGTGACAACATCCAGTAATTCATATGAAAATATCTTTTTCTTCCTTTATTTGTGACAAAGAAAGTTTGCTTTATTTCAAGCTGGAAACTCCTGGGACCTTCAGGGAACCTCTTCCTCAGCTACATGCCTCTGTAGTGTCAGCTTGCTCTACTGCTGGGGAGTGCTTGGCTGATTACCTTCTTCCTGCCCTGGGAGATGTTTCAGGAATCATTCATTCATTCAGCAAACATTACAACGTTCCAGGCACTGTGCCAAGTACTGAGTATTCATTGATATAGGATAAAATCTCTGTCCTAAAGTTGCTTGCAGTCAGATGGGAGAAAAGCAAGTAAATACAATGATTTGGTAAGTGCTGTGATAGAATGGGCACAAAAGTACTGAGAGATCGTAAAAGTGGGAGCAACTGACTTTTCTTGGGAAGTTTGTAAACTTGCATAAAGAGGAAGACAACTGAGCTGACTCTTGTAGGATGAGAAGAAGCTGACCACAGGAAAAATGCTGGACAGAGCACAGAGTCCTGAAACAATGTGACATTCATCAGTATCTGCCAGGACTATCCATATTGGGTTACTGGCCAATAGTTCTGTAAGGCTGGGGCTCAGGAATGTGTAGACAAATGTGAGAGGTGAGACTAGAAAGGTGGTGTACTAGTTGGGCTGTGTTAGCAAGAGATGATTTTGGCTATGTTAAATTTAAAAAAAATAAAAAGAAACTCTGGGGTAGCTTAGAAAATTGAAGGAAGGCTGAAGAACCATGATCTGAAAGATGTGGAGCCAAACATTTCCTGGAAATCTAGGTAAGAAGAAACTAATTGTGAATATTTCTTCAGGAGCCAAGATAAATGAATTCCAACCAATTTTCAGTTTCGTTGTTGCTCCTATTGAGGATTCACATTCCAGGGAGAGAGTGTCTGATTGGCCCATTTGGGTGAAAAAACCTGACCCTTAACCGTGAGATGCTAGGGGTTCATCAAGACTACATCTAACTGAGGAAGGATGTTTCCCATAGATGAAATGGAGATTATAAAAGAAGGAGAATACATTCTGCTCAGGTAAAAACAGTTGTAGTTTCTAGGTGGGTTGGAGTCAGTAACGAAGGGCTTCGTAAGTCATGTTAAAAAAAATCTAGAATTTATTCGGTAGGCAATGAAGAGCCATAGAAGGAATTTGAGCAGAGAAGTAACATGATAAATCCCAGACAAAAGCTTTCGGCTAATTTGATTTTGTTATGAGTTTATTTTTATCTGTAATGAACAAATTTAACTCTTTCTATAGTTCTTATTGACATGGAAGAGAACAAATATCATTCTACCATTCCTTTCCATAGTCCAAACAAATACACCTTTTATTTTTTCCTGAGATTTGTGTAGTGAATGGGCCGGGGGGGTGGGGGGGAGAAATGGACCAAATCTCCATTGATCAAGAAAGTTTTCATGTTCTTTCTGAATCAGATTCTCTTCCCTCCCACACAGTGATGTGCTAGAGCTGGTTTGTACTGGCTGGCGAGAGTTGTTTGCTAAATTTTCAGGAATTCTGTGAGTCATTTGTTAAGGATAGTCATTATTAACAATTAAGTTATATAAATTTAAACAAAAAAGATATGAAACACAAAGGTGTAATAAATATTGAAAGCTGACCACTTCCTAAATACTGTACTATCATCTATGTTCTTGAGGTTATTTATACCTACTGAATGGTACACATCCACTGTATTGTGGAAAACTTTATAATGTTACAGTATTGCACATCTTCCCAACTCTGCATTCAGTGACATTATGCTCGTAGCATAATGGTGGGAGTGGGAGAATTTATACCAAGGAAATTGGCAAACACTACAAAGTCAGCCTGTTAACCCTGGAGAGGGCTGGTGGTTAAACATTTACTAACATACCACCCTCACCCCCTGTACCCGACTCCCCTTGTTTTCTAGCCCTCAACTCCAAAGGAAAAATAACTAGAAACTGAGGCAGTCTCTTCACAGTCCAGTTCAGCTGACATATAAAAAGAAAAAACAAAGCTGGTGAAAAGTCAAGTTAATTTTATTTGTTTTATAACAGTCTAGCACATGACTACTAGCTCTGACACAAGGATGTGGAAGGTTGGAGAATACAGGACCACCATCCCAATTATGCGTCTCTCTTTTGGAGAGATTTCTTCAGGTCGTTTGTTATGAATGTGTTTCATAACAAACTGAGTCTTTACACTTTGTTTCATAGATGAAAAAATTGCAGAAAAAGGCCATGGGGCCATCTACTTTTCCCTTCGGGAAACCTTATGAATTCTTTTAGAATCTTCTTCTTTTGGGCGAACTTCCAGAAAGCAGTGGCACTGGCGACTCTGGGATGTCCCACTGAATCATGGTGACTGCTGCCAGAGCTGAATACCACCTTTTTCTTGGTTCTGGGAGCTGCAATATCTAGGTGAACTGTCTTTCATAAAAGTTTTTCTTTCCTCTTACCCAACTGTTGAACCTAGAACTTTGTTTCCTTTTTCTCCTCCCTTCCCCAAGCACATATTTAGTTATAATACAATAATTGCAAAAAGGGAAAGTCTCCCTGCCTATTTCGCTATCACTTCTAGGTACCCACTTACTAGTTTTACAGATTTTATTTACACTCAGAAGAGTTTATCTTGCAACCAGGCAAACAGTTCTCTTCTAAACTTTGCTAAGTTGGGTTGTGCAATCCTTTCCACATGGTATGCTTAGAGGGTAATTCGTGGTGAGGGAAAGGAGCGAAGAGGAAGCTGAGGAATGGGATGGGACATGCAGTTGAGGTGGTGTTTTCTTTCTTACTTAGCATGTGCCCAACGACCCTCCTCAGGAACTGGGAGGAGCAGTGATTGGTACCAGTCTCGCCACAGGCCTTCCGCATGGCCTGGACTGAGAGTTCCAGCATGCAGCTCTGTCAGTGTCCATGGAGTCCCTTTTGCCGAGAGTCAGAGACCCTCTCAGTGGCTGATGCTTCTCCACTTCTCCATATGTGATCTCCACTGGTGAGCTCTAGTAAGCCGAGTCCCTTCAGCACCCCTTTCAGCAACCAATTCTTGTGTGATTAAAGAGATTCTTTTTTTTTTTGTACCATAATTCTTAGGAATTCAAGACTACCTGTCGTCCCTCCAAATTTATTTTCCTTATTTTCCTTAGTTATTGACTCACTTTTGATCAGTATCTTAGTTAACAATCTATGCAGTATTTGAAAGTGATGACTGTCACTGCTTCAGTATACATTTTACAATATGGACTTACAAATTTTGATGATGCCTTCTTTTTTTTCCGTTTATTTCCAAATTAGTAGGTTTTTAAAAAGATCTATAACATCTTGTGAAGGAGGGGCAGAACTTATCCTCAATTAACATAGAGAAAACTGTCACATAGAGCAGGTAAGCGGCATCTTGGCATACCCAGAGTCAGGAAGGGCAGTCAGCACCGTCCCCAGGTCACACAAAACTTCAGGAATATCTGTCCAATGCTGTACTGGCTGCTTCCCCTGTGTGGCAGGGGACAAAGACATGATGAAAAGCAGACTGGCTTTTTTACAATGCCCAAAACACTAGGCCAGGGTTTACACAGCCAGGCTCTAAACTTTCTAACTGAACTTTGAGCACCTCCAACCTTCTTGGTCACAGATCTTCCCTGATGGCAGTGTTAGAACTGCTATCAAGTGATTAGTCCCTTTCCTCTGGAGGGAGCTGTACTCCTGATGTCCCACTGTCTAATGTATCTTTTTATTGGTAGGTCCATGTGCCCTAGGGTTTTTATCTAATAAGGGACCAACTAGGAGTAGAAACTAAATCTGGACATAATGAAGCCCATGGGGATTATAATCCCAAGTCAGTCATAATTATTTGCCTCAAAGCAGATGCTGAGGGGTGCAGCTGCCTAGAGCAAGGACCACCACAGACATGCAGCCGCTTCTGAATGAAACTGGCTGCAGTCACGTGGCAGCTTCAGACGGGGCATCTTTCTCAGCAGATGAAAGTAATTGGCAATCTGTCTCCAGTCATTTCTTAAGGTCAATGAGCCTCAGGTTCCTACTAAACATACGGGGTTAAGATTCTGTTTGGAATCTCTTCTGAGAAAACTGATCTCTGGAGTGTTTGCTTCACACTGAAAAATTCTCACCAGGTAACTACGAGGCAGGTTGGGGGCACAGATGGAAACCATCCACCTCCCCTTCTTCCCAGTCTCACTGCTGTTGGCCCTCTCAGGGAGTGGTAGCTCTCAGCAGGCTTCATGCTTGGCAGCCAACTCAACCTTTATGACACCCCTGGACGTAGGAAGGTGACAAATGCCAGCTCTAGTTCGTAGGCAGAAAACTGAAGTACAGAGAGCTCAAGGCACAGTAATGATACAGCCTACTAAATGGAAGAAATAGAAACAAAATCTCAGCCCCTTGATGGCTGTGTCTGTTTCTTCCTAAATAGCCTTCTCCTTTTATTGGGAAGACTAAGGGAAACTGTGGGGACAGGGTGGGTACGTGCATTGAAGCGGGATGCTGCTTCAACTGAGGAAAGACACTCACACACACACTTATGTCCCAGCTGAGATGAGGAGGCCAGCAGCCCTGTTTCTACAACTGGTATGAAACGGCAGTTTTACTTAGAACAGGATATCAGTTTTCTTTTTCTTTTCTTTTTTGTATTAGGCTCTAGTTGAGATAGACACTTTATTCTGGTAATGATCAAGCTATTCATAAGGCTCTTTTTAATTGGGTCTTCAAGAACAAAACTATAGGAACAGTAGTGCAGCTGTTAGGGTCAAGGGTGCTCGCTCTGGTTCTCAGGCCTGGGATCTTATTAATTCTCTCACCATAGAGGAGAAGGTCTGTGTGGAATAACGTTGCCTACAGGGGGTACGATCAAGGAGTAGTCAGAAAGCCATGTGTCTACAAGATAAATATACCTCTTCTCTTCAACATGCCTCCACTGAAGGTTTGTCACTTTGAGTTACACAGGTAAAAGATATACTTTAGTCTTTCTCTTTTAAATGCAATTTTCCCCAGGAGTAGTTACCAAACAATCAAACCTGAAAATGAGTTCAATTTTTAGACTACTTTGCTTTAGAATGGGTCACCAAGAAATGGAAATTTTGTCAAGGGGAAGGAATAGTTTTGGAGAAATCCTGCTTTGGAAACGTATATTTTGAATGAATATCTTAAAAGGAAGGTAGTAACCAGAGGGCAGCAAAGGGGATTGGTATGCTTTGAGATGGTGCTCATTGGGATTGGGAAGATACAACAAAGGCCGTTTTTCTAAGCTCCTCTTTTGGGTCACTTGCTGGCCTCCTGTCCAGGTCCCTGCCATGTCAACTTGGTTTCTATAACTCCTGCACTGTCTTTGGCACTGCAGCCCATGAAGCATAGTGTTGGTTTAGATGAACCATCTTAGTTTTCTCTTCCTGCTCTGGTAATTGATTGGCTGAGGGTAAAATTGCTCCCGGTGTGAAATATGTACTTGTATGTGAGGCTTTCCCCTGACTAGACTCTGTGTTTGAGGAGGGTGAGTTGTGGGAATACGAGGACAGGAGCCCTTCAAGATTTTTCTTGTTCCCTTTAGCCTCTGTGTCCTTTCTAGGGATGAGGCTTGGCCTGGGACCCCACTTTGGGATCCTGGCCGTGTGAGCACTCACTTTGTGTGAGGCTCCCTCTGATGCCACTCTGATGTCCCTTTTGGTACATGTCTTGTGCCTGCACAAGGCCTGAGAGCTGCCTCTTCCTAGGACAGGCCTGTGAGCAGGTGTCCTTCCGCTCAAAACTGGGTTTGCTTCTAGTCCCTGATGAAAAGAGGTATAGAATTTAGGCTGAGCACTGATGCTGCAAGAGGGGAATAAAGAAAGGATCTTTGCTTCAAGGAAAAAAACTGCAACCAGTCCTCAAAGCCTTTTGATTTCACAGGGAGAGTTTCGGCATCTTGCTCTCTTTCTCTGATGATACCCAGGGCAGAATTCCCACCAATACAAAGCATATCATTGCTTCAGAACCCAGGGGCTATAATGACCCAAAAGAATGGTAAGTGAGAACTCTGGATATCTCCTGGACTGATGATTTAAACCAAACACTCCAAAGTAGTGAACAAGGTTTGGGAGCCACAGAAACAAGCTGAGACCATAAATAAGAAGACCGATTCCATAAGAAAGCTGGGCTAATTAGCATAAGACGATATTGCAAATTGGTGCCTCACAGGTTAAATTTGGCCTGCACATATTTCATTTGGTCCACATGTTGTATATAAAATTTAGTTGCCAACATTAACAATTTCAAAAATTTCAATTAAAATTTAGATTTCATGGGCCAGGCAGGGTGGTGTACACCTGTAATCCAGCATTATGGGAGGCTGAGCCCAGGAGTTTGAGACCATCCTAGGCAACATGGTGAAACCCCATCTCTACGAAAATTAGCCAGGTGTGGTGGTGTGCACCTATAGTCCCAGCTACTTGGAGGCTAAGGTGAGAGGCTCACATGAGCCTGGGAGGTTGACACTGCAGTGAGCTGAGACTGTGCCACTGCACTCCAGCCTGGGCAACAGAGAGCCTGTCTTAAAAAATATATATATTGGATTTCTGGCTTCCCTTGAGAAATCGGAAAGACCAGGTAACACTTCATGGTACTTATTGCCTGAAAATGAGCAACTTCTCCTGCTTTCCAGCTT